TTTAAAACCCCCTCCTTTTTTTTTCCCGAATGATTATGAACACTTAAGAAAAAGCATAGGAAAAATTAAAGATGATACATGTTTAATATATGACAGACCATAGCATACCATACTGTATTGTGGTTGTAATCATCCCACTTGGAACTGCGAACCAGTCAAGGCTGCTTTTTTTCTGTTCTAACATTTAGTGTTCTGGCATTTGTTTGGCTTTATTTGTTTTTTCTTACAGGAAAAAGATCAATATGGTATCTAAAAGGGGCTCAAGACAGATCAATTCTTTCACTGCTTTGCTGGATGATTTGATTATTGTATCTATGTATTTCTCCCAATGTTTTCTAACAAGAAATCTCCTTTTGTTTTTTATCAATGAATTTTTTTAGTTTTGTCTTCTGTGATACAAAATTCTTTTACACAGAAAATCAGCCGGCATACATATAGCCAACAACAATCTAATTGTGTACCAAATCAAAGAACTTAATTCCCTTCACAATGAGCAACAAAGAAGTAAAGTACCGGGAAGGAATTACTTCAACCAAGTTGAGGTAAAGACTTTTGTTTTTTGTTTTATGAAACCACTGGGAGGAAGGCAAATAGCAGAGTTGATGGTTTTTTTTTTAGATGGAATCCATACCATGCTCGCTGGATTCGGCTGGACTCAATATCATCAAAATGTTGTATCTACCAAAGTTTGTATCTACAGATTGTTTTCCCCCTCTTCCCTCCCACTATACCTTTAATTTCCATCAGCATTCTTCACAGATACAGAGAAAGTAATTTTTACTTGGTTCGTATGGAAACAAAGAAGATTCAGAATTTTTTGAGATTTCTAGGCAAGAAGAAACAAAGATGAGAGGCATTAATATGCCAGATATGAAAACTATACTACAAGCTTAGATATTATATCAATATCGGTATTGTTTCACAAAAAAATAGGAATATTGGGGACCATGGAACAGAATGTGGAATCGCCTGATATAAAACATCCTCATACAGCCATTTAATCTTTGCAAAGTAGACAAAAATTACACTGGGGAAAAGAAATCCTTTCCTAACATGGTGTGGAACAACCTGGGATAGCCCCTGTTAGAATGCAAACAGGACCCACACCTTTCACCTCTCACAAAACCAAACTCACGCTGGATAAAAGACTTAAACCTAAGGTATGAAAGTATTAGAGATCTAGCAGAAAAAGTTGGCCAGACACATCCCTAGACATCGGCTGGCGGACAAAGGAGTTTATTGAATGAGTCCCCAAAGGCATCACAGCAGCAACAAAAATAAATAAATGGGACATGATCAAACTACAAAGCTTCTTACAGCCAAGAACATAACTATGAAAGGTAACGACAACTACAGAGATGGGGAGAATTTCTTGCATCCTATGGCATGCCGATAAAGGGTCTGATAAAGTAGAACATCTTAGACCCGAAATCAAAAGAAAAACAATCAAGTACCCCATTAAAAAGTGGGCAAAGGACTCTTGCAACAGAAATGTTTCTAAAGAAAACAGAGAGAGATGGCCAACAGACATATGAAAAAATGCTGCAACATCTCTATCATCAGGGAAATGCAAAATCAAACCACAATGAGAGTATCACTTAACCCCAGTGGAGAATGCTTTTCAAAAAATCTCCAAAACAATAAATGCTGGCGTGGTTGCGGAGAGAGAGGAACACTCCTACACTGCTGAGGACTGGCGACGCAACTGTTCAACCTCTGTGGAAAGCAATATGGAGATACCTTAAAGCGATACAAAGTGAATCTACCATTTGATCCAGCAATCCCATTGCTGGCGGATCTACCCAAAATGATCCAGTTGACACTCTACAAAAAAGACACCTGCACTCGAATGTTTATAGCAGCACAATTCATAATTCAAGGCTGTGGAAACAGCCAAGTGCCATCAATCAAGAATGGATAATAAAATGTGGTATATGTATACCATGGAGTACTATTGCAGCTCTAAGAAACAATGGGTGATATAGCACATCTTATATTTCCTGGTTAGAGCGGAACCCATACTACTAAGTGAAGTATCCCAAGGAATGGAAAAACAAGCACCAGATATTTCTCCAGCAAAACTGGTATTAACTGAGTAGCACCTAGGTGGACACAGTGGGCTACAGTAATAGGTATTGGGCAGTTGGGAGGGAGGGGGGCGGTATTACATACATAATGAGTGAGATGTGCCACCATCTGGGGGATGGTCATGATGGAGACTCAGACTTTTGGGGGGAGGGGGGGAAATGGGCATTTATTGAAACCTTAAAATCTGTACCCCCATAGTATGCCGAAATACAAAAAAAAATATCTATGCTCTTGGTAAACTTTTTAATCACATCCTTAATTGTTTTTCTGATTTTTCTGTATCATTTTTCAGGAGTATATTATACCTCACTGAGCTTTTTAAAAAATCAATATTTTGAATTATTTATCTGAGGTTTCCAAAAATTATTTTTAGTAAAAATATATTGCTGAAGAATTATTGTGTTCCTTTGGAAATTTCATATTTCCTTGTTTTTTCATGTTTATGTGTGTGTGTCCTTATATTGTTATCTGTGTATCTGATTAACAGTGGCCTCTTCCTATTTTTAAACTTACTTTTGTATGGGAGGACTTTTTTCCTGATGCTATATCTATGGTATTGGTTTGGTGGGGCACTTTGGCTTTGGTTCTCCATGTATGTAGTAGTGCATGCTCTGCATGATTTATTTGGCTGTAAACACCTATAGTGGTATTTGTGAGTTTATTATCTAGTGTGAAACATACAAAGTAAAAATTATGTCTGCATCCTAAGGTCCTTTGAATCTATAACGGTAGCAAACATTCTAAACATCAGAATTATAATTTTAGAGAATAAAGAGTATTAGGATTTCTTTTGTCTCTTTATACTGCTTTGTGGAATTGTGAGCAAGGATTCCTTTGAAGGATGCAACCAAAGTCCCGATGAAATTTTTTGCCCCACATTTGTGTCCCGTCCGCTGTCTTCTTCTCTCACCTGTCAACTGCTCTTCTAAGCATAGACAGCCTGGTGCACCTCGGTATGGGTAAGTATTTGGTGGACATTATTTGTGGAGCATAATGGCATGACATTTACACATACTCACCTTCTGCCTTTGAGTATGCATATGTAGGTTGTATATATGTATGAATATGCATACACCACTATGCCATTCTAAAGAGTTTGGAAATAACTTTTCACACACACATATAGTTTTCTTGCTTCCTTTGAATCACTTTCTTGTGATATAATATTAGAGAATTATCCTATCTCCACAATCCTTAACCCAGGAAACATGGGAAATGGAAAGATACCTCACATATTCTGTGCAACCAGCTATTAAACAGTTTGAGGACTAGGTTTTTCTGTTGCTGATTTGAAATGTGGAGGTAGCCAGTATTGCCACCCTACAGATTTTGCCCCTGATTTCCTTAGTTTCCAGATGAATTATTTGCCTTTATTACTCATGTTGACATGAGGCCTTCTCTTTTCACCAGCAAAGGGTGGAGGAGTGAAAATGAAGGGTCTAGATTCCCCTAGATCCCTAGATTTTATTGACATCTCATAAGTGGAATATAGTGCTAAAAGTTGTATGTTCTCATTTAATCCTCATAGCAGCCCTGTGGCTTGAGGATAGTGAAATTATGGACACTTTCTTTTCTCTCCTATCTTTCAGATTTTCCATGTAAACACTCATTATTTTTATGATCAGAAAAACAGAAAATACATACACACAAAGAACCCTTTTTTTTTTCTCTCTTTACAAAGTTGGGGCCAGAATTTTGTCTCAATGATCTGTTTTTTCAAGCACTGTTCAAATCTCATGTGTATATCTCCATGTCATTAAATATGCTTTGAAAGCATGGTTTAGATAAGTTCAATAAATTCATAGATGAAGGTAAAAGAGTTTTATTATTTATTCTTCTGTCATAGACCACTTACGATAAATAATGGATCATCAAAGGAATATTAAAAGGAATATTATGGAACCATTAAAAATCATGTTTTCAGAGTATTTAATAATCTCGAAAAATGCTCATGATATAAATTTTAAAAGCAAACTATGAAAGTATGAAATATTCTTCCAATTTTGTAAAATACAAGCGCTGATATATTAATGAGACAAACAGCACCATTTGTTAACATTTTAGTGTAGTCTGGATGATAAAATTAAAATTAGTTTGTTTCACCGAATCTTAGAAAATCTCCTTTACATTCAGAAAAGAAATATTAAATAGTAATTACCAGGTAGAAAATATAAAGGAGAGTTTGGATCAAGATGGTGGACTGTACACAGGCTTTTTCTTGTCTGGTCTCAAATCCCTTAAACCAAAAAAAAAAAAAATGATTTGCATGTACAATCTCTCTCCCTCCCTCCTTCTCTCTCCCCCACTCACCACTCTGTGTGTGTGTGTGTGTGTGTGTGCGCGCGTTTGTGTGTCTGTTGTGAATATTAAAAAAAAAAAGGGTTTGTGAGGAATTCCTAGAAGACAGAAAGCAGATGGAGCCGCTGTGGAGGAGGGTGGCAGGCAGCAGGCAGCCAGAGAGGCGGAGGAGGGGAGCCGCCTTGTCTGGCTAGGGTTTGAGAGAAACGGTGTGTGGAAGGGGTGCATAAAGATATGTCAGAGCAAACTAAAGGAGGGCAAGAGCGGCGACCTGCCCCGCAGTTGCCCTGGAGCGGAAGGCGGGATGCCGGTGGGGCGGGGCCAAAGCGCAGGCGGGCTTAGAGGGGCCGGGTTCCCTAAGCTGCAAAAATCCTAACGCAGAGTAGCGCTGCGAAGCTCAGGCCGCGCGTACTCTTAAGAGACTTGCTGCCGTCTGCGCCTTTGCGTCTGCAGCCATCCCTCTCATCCCTTCCCTATCTTCCCGGTCGTCTCCACTGTCGCCGTGCCGCAGCTGCAGCAGCATCGACAACAGCTAAGTGGCGGATTCAGGGACTTGGTGTCGGGAGTCGGGGCGGGAAGCAAGGCGCGGACAGCAGACGCAAGCCCGCCATCTCTAGCAGCAGCCTCTACTGTAGTTACCCTTCCCGGGCGGGAGAGGAAAGCACTGTCTAGAGCACACGCTGTCCCAGTGCTCAGGGTCACAGAGCGTTTCTGCCAAGTCCTGGTGAGAGCCTTGTGCTTGGAGAAGAAAGCACGGACCGGGTCTCAGAGATCGCGAAAAAAGATCTCATATTGAATAGTGTTGCCTTTTTGTCAGCTTAATAGAGCAAAGCGGTAGCTTTGCCCAAGTCCCCTTACTTAAATCCTGAGCCATGGCTCCTCCAACTGTGCCTCCCATGGGGGTAGATGGAGTGTCGGCATACCTGATGAAGAAAAGACACACTCACAGGAAGCAGAGGCGCAAGCCCACTTTCCTCACTCGTAGAAACATCGTGGGCTGCCGCATTCAACACGGCTGGAAGGAAGGCAATGAGCCCGTGGAGCAGTGGAAGGGCACGGTGCTCGAACAGGTTTCCGTGAAGCCCACTCTCTACATCATTAAATATGATGACAAAGATAGTGTGTATGGACTAGAACTGCACCGAGATAAGAGAGTTTTAGCGTTAGAGATCCTTCCTGAAAGAGTGCCAACTCCTCGCATCGATTCACGCCTGGCAGATTCCCTGATTGGTAAGGCGGTAGGGCATGTGTTTGAAAGTGAGCAGGGTAGGAAGGATGAATGGAAGGGTATGGTTCTGGCGCGAGCCCCTGTGATGGATACTTGGTTTTACATCACCTATGAGAAAGATCCTGTTCTGTATATGTACACGCTGCTGGATGACTACAAAGATGGTGACCTGCGCATAATTCCAGATTCCAACTATTACTTCCCTATGGCAGAACGAGAGCCTGGAGAGGTAGTCGACAGCCTTGTGGGCAAGCAGGTGGAGCATGCCAAAGATGACGGGTCCAAGAGAACTGGCATTTTCATTCATCAGGTGGTGGCCAAGCCCTCTGTTTACTTCATTAAGTTTGATGACGATATTCACATTTATGTCTATGGTTTGGTGAAAACTCCCTAAATTCATTATGCTCTTTGCAAAAGTTGTGGAACTATTAGATGTAAATTATTTCGTGTTCTTGTAATTGTGAACTTTCAGAAGAGTTTTGGTGTCAGAAATTCAGGAAAGTGGATAAACCTTATTGTGGCTCTGGAAAATCTTATGTTGGCTAGTTCCACAGTTTTGCCTCAAGTGTACTTTGGTACTTTTGATATTGCTTTGTTCTGTAATTGAAAACTTAAATTAGGTGCTGATAGAAAATTTAAAAGTGTCTGCAACCATTGGAACAATGCAAAAATTGATTGAGAAATATTAATGGTGTAATCCCACACCATGTCCTTCTCCTCTCTTTCCTTACCTTGCCCCTTTCTTCTTCCTCAACAAGTGTTGAGGACATGATGTATATCCTACAAGTTTTCCCCATCCTCCTTCTGGAAGTTTGTTATAGTAGTTTCTGTAAAAATGACAAGCCACATGCATTTCTCTGTAGTTGCTCCTCTCACTTGGCATACAGATGGCATCTTTTCTGTTCAGTAGCTTTAGTTTCTCTCTGCCTCACTCTATCTCTCTCTCTTTCTCTCCTCTTCCCCTCCCTCCCTCTATCCTTTTCTCCCTCTAACAGCTGTATGTATACACAGTACATGTGGATCTACCAAAAAGGTATTCAACTATTTTGTTATTGATGGTCATTTATGTTCCTTTCCCCCCACCATAACACTGTAATACATATTGGTACTTTTATTTAAACAGTCTGGATTTCCAGAAATGCTAAGTAGGCATATGTTTAATTTTAAGAAATATTTCAAGATTAACATCCAAAATGAAAGTGCCTATTTTCAGAATCCTTTCTAGTACTTGTTAATGCTTGAAAATATGAAAGGTCACATGGTATTGCTTGATACCTTAATTACCTTTTATCGACTTCAAAGAGATTTTTGTTGTTGTTTTCTTCACTATTTGGACTTTTTTGTGATTTGTGAATTCTTATCCTTTGCTCATTTATCTATTGAATTATTGATTTTTGTTCTTATAAATGTGTAGGAATTCTTAGTATATGGTGCATATTGATCTTTCGTAGCTCTAATGTGTTATGATTTTTTCCCATATCATTAATCTTGATTTTATTGGTGATATCTTTTACTTGACAATTTTTAAACTATCTTTTATAGCTTTTTGGTTTCCTATCTTTTTCAGATGGATGCTCTCAATCCAAGTCATGCAAATCTTCACTTGCATTTTATTCTAATAATTTTATTATTTTTAATGTTCTAATGTTTGAGTCATGTAAATTTTATTTTTGTATATGGTAAAAGGTAAGGATCCAACTATATATTTTCTTCACATTGGATACCTCATTGTGACATTTATTTTAAAAATTACCCATTTTCAAATTACTGAGTCAATATCACATAGTTTTAATTATAGTGGCTTGACCATAAATTTTAGGAACAAGCCCCCCTTTTAAAGCAAGTCCCCCTTCATTAGTTTTTATCTTTTATATAATTTGTCCCAGACATTCATTATTTCATATGGAAAATGAAAGCATTTTTTTCACATTTAAAAAGTTTTGTATGTTACAAATTATAGTAAATATCTGCATTTCTGCTTAAAGAATTATTTAATAATATTAATCCTTAACACTCAAGAGTTTTAGAAACATCATTGAAATCTTTTGGTCTTGTTTTTGTAATATTCTTCATGTAAGTCCATCATAGCCAATTGAATGTATTTCTAAGTGTTTATACAGTTTTTGTCACACTTTGACAATTTGAATTGAGTATTTTTTCTTCTTTTATAACTTGTTATTTTGGGCAATATAGCAAACTATAGATTTTTGTATTTTTATCTTCTATCCAATGAGCTTATTTAATCCTCCAAGTTACGGTGGATATTTTAAAATAGAATATTTTGTACTTTTTAGATATAAAATTATTTCACCTGTAAATAGAGACCATTTTACTTCTTCTAATGTTTATACTAATTATTATTACATTAGGTGGATTTTCCAAATCAATGATGAATGATGAATAATGATAATAATAGACATGCCTGTCTTGTTCTTAATTTTCATGGGAATGTCTTCAGTATTGTATTCCGTATTGGTATGACATTTGCTGTGATTATTAGCAAATCATCATTAACATGTTTAGAAGTTTCTTCTGTTCATGTTTTACATAGAGTGACTCCTGGATTTTATTAAATGTCTTTTTAGCATCTATTGATAAAATCATATTATTTTTTACAAATTTCTTGATGTTATTAATTAGAATGGTGGGTATTTGATATTGAACCAAACCTGTATTTCTGGAAAAAATTCTGCTTGGTTATGGTAAAATAATCATTTGCTACATACTGGATTTTATTTACCAGTATTTTATTTACAATTATTTCATTTACATTCCAAAGTGAAATTGTGTTTTTTTTTTCTTTCTTACCTTGTCATTATCAAGTCTTGTTACTGAGGTTATGCTAGCTTTAAAAAATATGAATTGGTGAGTTTTTAGTCTTTTTCTGTGGTCTGGAATAATTTAAATAGCATTAGAATTATTTGTTCTTTAAAAGTTAACTAGTACAAAGCTGTAAAACAATCTAATCCTGGTGAGATTTTTGATGGTAGATATTTAATCAGCTTTGTGGTTTCTTCAAGAGTTACTTGTTTATTCAAACCTCTTATTGAAAAGGAACATATATTCTCTGTGAAATACAAAGTTAAACATTTTCTCATTATGAAGCTTGTTGATTGTTCTACTCAGATGCTTTATGTCCTTGTGTGTTTTATGTCAACTAGATTTGTCCAGTTCTGAAAACATAATAAAATCATCACCCATAATGGTGTTTTAAATACTTTGTATCCTTTTATTTTAAAAAAATTAAAACAAAATATAGGAAAGTATGAAAGATACGACAAACATTGGTTATCTCTACCTAAAATGAACAAATGTCAACTTTTTGGAATAGTTGATTTAGAGATTTATATTTTTAAATAATCAGAACATTACAGGTAACAAATTTGTTTCCAAGTACCATGCCACTTCCTTCCTCTGCATAGGTAGAGACTGTCATTAATTTGGTGTGAATCTTGCCCATGCTTATTGAGTTTTGTATTTTTCAAAATAATTTTAACATGAATGGTAAACTTTAAATCATGTGGAATTTGTTTTGGTTTTTATTTTAAGGATCTATTTTTTTTTCAAATTGGAAAACAGATTGCAACAACACAAGCAACCAATAGCATTGACCTTAGAATGCTAATTAATGTTCTAGGCCCTTTCACTGCTCTTGATAGTCAGTGAGGCTTGGCTCTAGCTGCAGCCCCAGGGCTTGTGTCAAAACCCAAAATCTCATTTCTCACAGAGGTTGCAAGGAGAAAGTACATGGGGAGGCATATACCCACCACCCACCTTTGACCTTTACGTCAGACACATGCCTTATGTTGCTTCATGATGATATAAGGGTTATCCCACATTATGACACTAAGAGATAGTCTAGCCCTAATCCTGGCACTGTTTTAAGAGTTTGGGACATAGCAGTAGACAAAATAAAAATTTTATCAGACAACAATGATAACAACAGCAACATAGATATATAATATTGCTTCCTGGTTCCTGCTCTCGCATTAGGCCCCAAGTTCTGAACCATGCATTACATTGTTTCATGATGATAGTGCATGGGGATAGAACACTGAACTATCCAGACAAAATCCCTGCTCTCTTAGAGCATACATCCTAATAGGAAAAGACAGCCATCACCCCTCTTTATCACTCCTGGCCCTTAGGCTTTATATTGTCTTATAGTGATTTGGGGATATCCTACAACCTGTCACTCAGAGCAAGTTTTGACTTCAGTTTTAACTGTGTTTTAGAGGTTTAGAATACTAAACCTAGTGAGCTAGTAGAAAGAAGACATACACAATCAATGTAAAACACTGTGTTCACCAGTTATGCCTTTATCCCCTAACTTTCTGGATTCCTGGACTATAACCAAATTTTGGATTGTTCCATGGTAATATTATTGATATCACATCAGCTTGCTTTGAGTCAGAGGGAGGCTTACACTTGACCAGGCAGTGAACAGAATTGTTAGTCTCCATTCTCTTGGAGCTCACATCCCATTGTGATGAGACAATCATCCCATCCTCCACAGGCTCCTAGTCTATACTCAGGTTTTATATTGTTGCCTAGTGATATTGGAAGCCTTTCATATCCTGGCACTAAGTCAGAGGGAGGTTTTGTCATTGTTCTGACACTGTTTTTTGTTTGTTTGTTTGTTTTTTAATATTTTTTTTATTTTCGCATATTATGGGGGTACAAGTGTTAAGGTTACTTATATTGCCCATGCACCCCGCCCCCCTTGAGTAAGAGATTCAAGCGTGTCCATCCCCCGAACGTTGCACATCTTACTCTTTGTGGTTGTATAGACCCCTCCCCTCCTCCCCCCCTCCCACCCTCCTGACACCCGATAAATATTACTCTTATATGTCCACTTAGGTGTTGATCCGTTAATACCAATTTGCTGGTGAGTACATGTGGTGTTGGTTTTTCCATTCTTGAGATACTTCACTTAGTAGAATGGGTTCCAGCTCTATCCAGGAACATACAAGAGGTGCTATATCACCATTGTTTCTTAAAGCTGAGTAGTATTCCATGGTGTACATATACCACATTTTATTAGTCCACTCATGAATTAATGGGCACTTGGGTTGTTTCCATAGCTTTGTAATTGTGAATTGTGCTGCTATAAACATTAAAGTGCAGGTGTCTTTTTCATAAAGTGACTTTTGTTATTTTGAGTAGATGCCCAGTAGAGGAATTGCTGGATC